CAGCTGCCCCGCCACTGGCTGGCCTACACGCCCACCGGGCCCGAGCCCTTGCAGGACTGGCTGGGGACGCTCCAGCGGCGGGGCGAGCTCCTGTGCCGCTACCTGCGCTCCATTGGGGGGGAGCCGGTGGTCTGCTACCAGCTGGCAGCCTTCCAGCACCCACAGCGCCTCTTCCTGGCCCTGCTCCAAGAGACGGCCCGGGCCGAGAAGCAAGAGCTAGGGAGCTTCCGCCTGGACCAGCAGGTGAGGGCAGCCTCTAGGGCCTGGGGCAGAGGCCAGGCCAGGCCAGGCCCTTGGCTGTGATCCCCTCCCTTTGATTTGCAGGTGCTGCCCAGCCTGCTGCCCCCCGGCACTGCCCCCGAGAAGGGCCTCTACCTGGGTGGCCTGGAGGTCTATCACGCTGCCTGGAACGCCCACAGTGGCCACCTCCAGGAGACCCTCTCGGCCCAAGCCTGCCAGCTGCCTGCAGTTTGGGTGCAAGCCAGCCAGGAGCCCTGGGCGGAAGCCTCTGTCTCCTCCAAGTACCAATGCCCTGTGTACTTGGGGACCCCCCAGGCAGCCCTGGACCTCCGCAGTCAGCGGGTCGTCATGCACCTGGCCCTCCCTTCCAAGGTGCCTCCCGAGCTGTGCACCCAGCTGCGGGTTCATGCCATCAGCGTTCTGCGGTGAGAGGCCACAGCAAGGGCCAAACTACGGGAGAAGCCCTGGGGTCAAGCTGCCGCAACCCTTGCCCCTTGTAGGCAGAGAGATTGCCACTGTAACTACAGAAATAAAACCATATATTATATGAGTGCGTACAAAACAGTCCCCCGGTGCTCTCCCGGTTTGCCAGCCACGGAGGTCCTGCTGCATCTATTATAAATAAGGTGACCTCGGACATGCCCCGTCCCCACCCACCCCCGTCCCCCAGTGGGGCCACCTGGCCTGCAGGCTCCCCAAACAGTACAGTCCCTCATTTCAGGTCCACGTCAAAGTCCAGCACCAGCAGCTTGGTTTCTTCAGTGCCGTTGCGGCTGCCCACAGCACACACGAGCTTCGTGTTGGAGGCCCGGATACGCCAGACGACTCCCCCGCTGCCCCCACTTTCCAGGGCAACCAGGTTGCGCACAAATTCTCCCGTCTTGAGATCCCACAGCTTGACTGTGCCGTCGTCTGAGCTGGTCACGACAAACTTGGAACTGAACTGGAGGCAGGTGACGGCGCTCTGGTGCTTACTGGGCCCTGCAAGGAGGGGGAAAGTGGGACTGTGCATCTGCCGCCCTTCTGCGTGGCCCCAGCTCCCCCACGCCCAGCTGCCGGAGCTCCTTCCAGGCATGGCATGCAGCCCTCCCTTGGCAAGAGCAGCCCGACATGGCCCTGGCACTCCCCCCCCCCCCCCAAGCCCGCCGGGCGGAGAGGCCACTGCCGGCACGTGGGAGCCAGCTTCCTACATCCAGAGATGACCCCTTGGGAGACCCTTCAGGAGACCCTCGCCTCTCCCGACACACTCACCTTGGAGGGTCTGCAAGCACTGCCCCGTTTTGATATCCCAAATTTTCACGGTGGAGTCGGCATTGCCAGAGACGAGGATATTGTCCCGCAACTCCATGCCACTGGTGAGGGATTGGTGCCCCATCAGGGTGTGCAAGCAGTTGCCGCTCTCGGCATCCCATACGCGGATTGAGGTGTCCAGGGAGCCGCTCACAATGTGGGTGCCATCAAACTGCCCAGTGGTAAGAGACAAGGATGCAAATAAGCAGCTCTGGAGACCCCCCCACCCCGAGTCCTCTCCAGTGGGGAGACCCTCACCTGCAAAGAATAGACCCGGTTGGTGTGGCCTTGCAACGTGTGGGTGCAGCTCTCTGTCTCCGGATCCCAGACTTTTACCGTGTAGTCGTAGGCACCGCTCACCACCTTATGCCCATCGTACTGGACACAACGCACAGCAGCCACATGCCCCATTAGCACATGTAGGCACTGCCCGGTCTCTATATCCCAAAGACGGAGAGTGGCATCCCGGGAGCCACTCACCACCCTGCCAAGGGAAAGGAAGCAGCCTCAGCCTCGCATTTGACATCACAGGGAGCCCCAGCCGGCTTTCCGGACAGCCCTCTCCTGCCCCAGGCTCCTCTACCTAGCGTCATGGAGATGCATGCAGCGCACAGTCGAGGTGTGACCATAGAGAGTGTGCACACATTCGCCCGTGTCTGCGTTCCACACTTTCAAGGTCCGGTCCGTAGAGCCACTGATGATGATATTGTCCCTCATCTGGGAGGACCAAACGCCACCGGTGTGTCCCACCAGAGTCTGCACGCACTGCAGGAGAAGCGGAAGTTCAGAAGGGCCAGGCGGGGTAAGGAAGGCCTCCCCTGCAAGAGAAGCTGAACTGGGCTCACCTCACCAGTGACGGCAGACCAAACCTTGAGCGTGTTGTCATCTGAGCCACTGACAATGCGGTTGCCGCAGAACTGGAGACAGGTGATGACGTGGTCATCGTGACCTTTGAGGACCTGCTCCAGGCACAAAACAACCCCCCCACCCCGGATCAATGGCCCTGAGGAGCACAGAGCCCCCAGCCAGGTTTCCAATCTTTAAATGTGGACAAACGGGATCCGTATGTGAGCAACCCCCACGTTTCTCTTCGGCTGCCCCACTTCTGGATCCTCCTCGCTGGCAGAGCCTCTTCCTGAGCACGTGAAGGGCATCGAGGCCAGTTTGGAGACCACCTTCCTGCCCTGGTTGCTGCGGAGACAGGCCTCGCAATCTGCCCCACCCCCAACCTTCACATTTCCTAGGGTAGATTCAGGGCCAGCAAGATAAAAAAAGGAGGCTCTCGGATGAAAGCGACCATGGAGCGGAGGGAGGGGGACGCTCTGCATACCTTGGGTGGCCGGGCATCTCCGTTGCGCCAGTTCATGTCAATGCGATGCTGCCGCAGAAAGGCCAGCTTCCAAGGGCTGTACATGAAGCCCGGGCTTGGCAGCCGATGCTTACGCAGGCTCAGTGGCTCCTCGATACCTGCACAGAGGGACCCCCGGGGGGGGGGGGGGGGGGGCGGGTCAGGGCAAGGACGGTCAGGACAGCCTGCCCTGCAACAACCGGACAAGGCAAGCGGGAAGCTGGAGCTCACCTCCATTACGGCACTTCTCCCGCCAGAGCAGGTTGTCTTCGGCCAGGATGCGCCAGTAGCGACACGTCTGCGCAGCTCGAAGCAGGTCCCGAGGCTCCAGGAAGGAGAGGACGTAGAGAGCCAGCTGGAAGGGAAGGGAAGGGAGAGCTGTGACTCGGAGGGTGTTCAAAGCCCGGCTGATGCACTCGGGGCGCGAGCCACCCGGAGCCCACCAGGCAGCTGCTTGCCTCCTTTGGACAGGACCCATCCAGCTAGGTGCTGTGCCAGTAACCGCGACTGCTCAAGGGCAATGGCCTGTAGCAGCCCCCCCGCCCCCCCTTCTCCTCTGGAGACCTTTCCAGGTGGCTCTGAAAAGCTGGACTGACTCATCCGTGCCCTCTGAAGGTCTGCTGCGTGGCCCAGGACCTGGCCATGAAGAGCCCAGCCTCCTACGTGGGCTTGCCCCGCTTGCTTCTCCCTTTGACCTCCTTTGGGGCCATTCAGCTTTGACCAAGTTCAAGCCCTCTTTGCTGCCATCCCAGAAAGAAGGCAGACGTCGCAGGCTCCCTGACCCTGTCCGATTTCCTTGTGCCCTCGGTTCTCTCCTTTCGTCTCCCCTCGAGCTTTATACTCTTTCTCCAGTTACGTTCCTGCTCCCCTTTCGGTGGGACTGCCTGAAGTTCTCTAACAGCGTCACTCGTGCTTACGCTTCTGTAAAAGGGCTCTTCTTGTGCCAAACAACCTCCGCTCAACTACGTCACACCCGGCGCTATGCGAGGCCTCCTTCCAAACAGAGCACGCACCTCCTTCGGCAGAAGCGAGATGAAGTCACGCTGGAACTGGGGCTCAATCACTTGCATCATGTGCTTAATCTGGGGGGGCTCACAGCTGTCAATGAGCTCATCCAGGGCCAGCAGCTTCTCTGGGCCACTCCAGCGCTGACAGGAAGCCAAAGCAGGGTACACAGAGGAGTAAAAAAAAGGACAAAGAAGAAAAAAGTTTGTTCTTTTGACCCCGCTACAAACAGTAGCAATAACTAAAAATGCTTTAAGCTTGTTGCATCTACAGCCATGGTTCTGCAAACGTCCCATAGAAAGAAAACAAGACCAGTGCCTCAACCCACAAAGCCCATCCTTCCAAACCCCCAGATGGGCCTCCTTGCTAGAAGTCCTAAACCTGCCATCTGCTCACCTGGAAAGTGTGTAACCAGTCCTGCAGCTCAGGGGGCGGAGCCACAGGGGGGACGTGCCGGCATCGTGCCTGGCCGGCCTTGGCATTCCGAAGATCCCCAAAAGTGGCTGCAGGGCGAGCGATGCAGGGACCCAGCATCCTGAGGACAGACCAAAGGGTTTTTTTTCCCTAGCAAGCGCCCCAACTCCTGCCCCCCATCGCTCACTCACACACAGACACCCACCTGCCCCGCTCGGAGCTTTTGCAGAGCTTCTTCCCCGGGGACTGGGCTCTGCCCTCGGGTCCCCCGCCCTCTGACTTGCGCTTCATCTGCAGCAGGGAGAGACAAGGACATCAGCAGCCCCGGCCAGCTGGGCTAAAGGGAGGAGGCGGCCGGCCGGATCCCTCCCGAAGCAAGCCGGCTCCGCAGCCCCGCCCCGCCGCCCCTCAAATCAAGCTCCTGCCGAGCCTGCCAAGTTGCAAACCCCGAAGCCGGCTGCGGAGGGCGAAGCCTGCCCGGCGGGCTCCTCGCAGCCCCAGCCCCGGCCCTGCCTTCCCTACCTTGGGCCGGGAGTGCTGGAGGAGCCCCCCGCCCTCCGTCCGCTCCACATAGTCGATCCAGCGCTCGTCCACCGTGTAGTAGAAGTAGCCGTCCCCGCCCGCCTCGTCACCGTCGCTGCTCTCCGAGTCGCCGCTGCCCCGCGGAGAACCGGGCCGGCCGCCGCGCTCAGGACTGCGCACCGGCCCTCCGGGGCTACGGACAGCGGCAACTTCCCCGCGCGGTCCTCCCGCTCCGCCGCCGCCGCCATCCTGTGAAGAGGAAGGGCGGGCGAGGCTGCGTGGCCCCGCGGCCTCCCTGCCGGGGTGGGGAGAGCCCTGGGCGGCGAGGCCGGGGCGCCGTCGCGGGGGGGCGGTCGGGCGTCTCCGGCCGGTGCGAGCAGGTCACGCGCTGCCGGTTCAGCTCCAGGATCCGGGCGGTGATGCCCTTGACGCGCAGCAGGTCCTCCAGGCGGGCGAAGCCCCTCAGCTCCTGCGCGGGCCGGGAGACGGTCAGGCGGGCGCCCTCGGAGACCCCCGCCCGGATCAGCCACGGCCGCCACAGCCCCCCGAGCCGCCGCTCACCTCCCTCTTGCGCACGATCCCCCGCGCTCGGCGGTGCCCGATCCCGACCAGCGCCCGCTCAAGCTCCGCCGCGCCGGCCCGGTTGACATCTATCCTGCCGCCCCCGGACCCCGACATCGCCGCCGCCGCCGCGATCGGCCCGCTGCCGCGCGCCTGCGCACGACACCCGCCCCGCCTACATTTCCCAGAGAGCCACACAGGAACCGCCACTCGCCAGCAAGACGGGCCTTTATTGGTCGGGAACCCCGACGTCACCGGCGCTTGTACAGGCAGGGCCGCAGCGCCAGTCCGCGGAGCTCGGCCGCTTTCGCCGTCTCCGCCCGGTCGGTCTTGCGCAGCTCGAAGGTGTAGAAGTGGCTGCCCGAGACGTCCTGCGGAGGGAGAGGCCGTCGGAGGGGTCCGGGGCAGCCAGGCCCCGCCCGCCCGCCCGCCCGCCCGCCCACCTACCTTGGAGGTCAGCCGGAAGCCCAGCCGCGCCAGCGCTCCTAGGAAGGCCCGCAGGTCCGCGAAGCGGCTCGCCACCTCGGCCACCAGCAGCGTCCCCCTGCGGCGCAGAGAAAGAGCGCGAGTGTTCGGCCGGCCTGCCTCGGGAATCCGCCCAGCGGCCGCTCCCGCGCCCCTTCCCTTACCCGGCTCGCAGGACGCGGTGCGCCTCTTGCAGGATCTCGCGCAGGTTGGTCCCCATCAGCGCCAGACAGAAGACGGCCACGTCCACGGAGGCGTCCTCCAGCGGCACCTGGGGTCGGCAAGAAAACCTGTCCGGCGGGGCGAGCAGCCGGGGACTGGGGACGGGGAGGGAGGCGGTCCAGCTGGCCTACCTGAGCCATGTCGCAGACGGTCACCCGCGGGTCCAGGGCCGCCAGGTCGAAGCAGTGCACCCGATTGGGCAGGCTGCGAGCCAGGGTGCAATCCCCGCAGCCAAAGTCGGCCACAACCAGGGAGGCCGGTCTGCAGGGTGGAGACAGCAAGTTAGCACAGGCGGAACAGCCTCCCAGCACCCGATATACAGCCTGGCCAGGAGTTTTGAGTCTGGGGAGGCGGTAGGCAAAAAAGCTCCCACCAGAAGAAAGCCTGCCACATGGAGGGAGGAGGGGCAATAGGAGGCTTACTTTTTTTTTTCAAAGCTTGGATTAAGGGCAGTTCCTCCAATGAATTCACAATTACTTTTCTGTATCCAAATAAATCTGCTTGCCCTACAGGCTCCTTTATATTCTTTGTTCATTCCCTGCCCCAGGGAAGCCCTTCCGGCAGGCATGCCAAAGGACAAAGGCATTTTTGTAGCATTTGCAAAAACAGCAGGACAGAGCAGTCATACAGAAAAGATTGTGGCCGCAAATTCAACCAGAAAAGAAGCTTGTTGAGCCCTAAATGAGAACTGGGCCAAAGCCCACATCTCAAGCCACAGCAGGGCTCAGAGCTCATAGATCACAACAGCCACAACCTCAGATCCTCAGACAGGCCTCTCCCGCAGTCCAGGGAGCCCCCACCCCAATCCACCCCACTGGACTGAGCTCACTCTGACCTACGGTGAAGATAGTGCACAAAGCGCTCCACGGGTCGCTCGGGCCAGTGGGCTGCCTGTAGGGCAAAACCCCGGTGGTAGACACCTAATGCCTCAGGGTCCTCCTGGAAAAGCTGGGCTGCCTCTTGGCTGGAGCGTGTGTAGAGCAGCTGGTTGATGTAGCGGAAACGAGCGGCCTCTAGGCGGCTCTCCAGGCGCTGCCGCAGGGACGATGTCTGCCTGCCAGGCACCTCGCTATCTGGGGTCGGGCCTCCCTGTTCATCAAGGGGGTCATCTGCCGCAGAAGACGCCAGAAGCCGGCCATCGGAGGCCTTGAATTTGTTCTTCTGCCGCCGCTTGTTCTTCTGCCGGTTTCTCCACTGTTTCCTGGTCAGCTGCTGCCTCAGCTCCTGGGCTGCTCGGCCAGCACTGCCGTCTCCCGTGCTGGACGCTGGGCTGTCCTCCTTCGCTGCCACTTCACCTGGACAGAAGCCCTTCGCACCAGGCCCGAGAGGCTGGTCTACGACCGCCACCCCTGCCAGGCCACGCAGCCGAGATCTCCGCCGATTGATTCGTTTTAAGTGGCGGGAGCGAACGCGCCTCGCATCCAGGCGAGGGTGAGACGAAAGAGCAGAGCGGCCTCGTGCCCTCTCAGCCCGCTCGCTTGTTACCGCCGGATCCCCGGCCGCGCAGCCTGGATCCTCCGAGCGGATCACGGCGCCCAGTCCCCGAGGAGGCTCCTCCGATAGCCGCGCGATTCCGGGCGGCAGACCGATTCTCGCAGCTGGTCGAGGCGGCTCGGCTCTCCCTCGGGCCGCAGGCAGCGCGCTGGGTGGAGGCGATCCACTCCCCTCGGTACCTGGCACCCGCCGACCTCCCCGCTTCTCACCGGCCGCCGTGGCACAACGGTGCCCGCCCGCGCTCTCGGCCGCCTCGTCTCCGCGCAGCCGGCCGCCCGGAACTCTCTTGTCCGCCTCCGAGCCCGCAAGGCCGCGCGGTGCCTCAGGCCGTGGTCGCCGGCGCAAGGCGGCACGGAGGCGCCGCCGGGAGAAGAGCCATGCCCGCCCCGCGAATAATCCCGCGGCCAGGCTCCTCCGCGCCGGCATCGTCTCCGCGGCCGCCGGAAACCGCGCGCCGGAACATGCGCAACGCCTAGCGCCGCGGAGAGGCCCGCGCGAACTCCCCCTGGCGGCGGGAGGGCGGCGGCGCCGCGCCCGGTCGGCCGCTGTCTCCAGCTGGCCTGGACGGGCGGGGCGGGGCGGGGCGAACGGCGCGGAGCGGCCACACCCGGAGCGCGCGGGGAAGGCGGCGGCGGCGGCGGCGGAGGGCGCGGGGCGATGGACGATATCTTCACACAGTGCCGCGAGGGCAACGCGGTGGCCGTGCGCCTCTGGCTGGACAACACCGAGAACGACCTCAACCAGGGGTGAGCGGCGGGCGGGGGCAGCTCAGGAAGGAGCCGGGGCCGGCGGCCTTTCCCCGCTCGCGGTTTTTCCGGGAGCGCCGTTGCTGAGCAGCCGGCGGGCCTGGGTAGCGGGGAGCTGGGCGGCGGCGGAGCAACTCCGGCCGTTCGTTGGGAGCTTGGCCCCTGCGCCGGGCCGGGCCTCTGGTCGGTGGGGGCACTGGCCCCGAGGGCTGCCCGCGCGACCCCCGTCCCAGCGGAAGCCGTGGCCGACCGGAGCGCCTCCCCGTCCCACTCCGATCTCCTTTTAAGGGCCGCCTGCTGGCGCTGCCCGCCCAGGCGGCGGAGGAGGGAGAGGCTGGGCGCTGCCTCCCGCCACCGCTTCCCTCCCTCGCTTCCTCCTTTCCTGGCAGGGACGACCATGGCTTCAGCCCCCTGCACTGGGCTTGCCGCGAAGGGCGCTCCAGCGTGGTGGACATGTTGGTCATGCGAGGCGCCCGCATCAACGTCATGAACCGGGGAGACGACACCCCCTTGCACCTGGCTGCCAGCCACGGGCACCGGGACATCGTGCAGAAGGTGGGGGGTCGGGGCAGGGGCGGGTGGGGTGGGGGTGGGGGGTTGCTGCGGTTCTGATGCCCTGACTCTCCCTTCTCGCGGTGCAGCTGATCCAGTTCAAGGCAGACATCAATGCCGCCAACGAGCATGGCAACACCCCTCTCCATTACGCCTGCTTCTGGGCCCAAGAGCAGGTGGCCGAGGTGTGTGGGGGCTTCCAGGGGGGCTGCAGTGATCGGGTCGGTTGGGCTATGAGTAAGGGCTGTCACCCTGCCTCACCTTCCCTCCCTGTTGCTGCCAGGACCTGGTGGCCAGTGGGGCGCTGGTTAGCATCTGCAACAAGTACGGAGAGACACCCCTGGACAAGGCAAAAGAGCCCCTGCGGGATACACTGAGAGGTGCGCCCCTCTTCTAGCTGACCTCTGACCTCTTCCTTCTGCTTCTGCTGCTGCTGCTGCTGCTGCTCTTTGGTGGGAGGGGCAGAGTTAGCCCAAGGACCTGCCTCCCCATTAACCCTGCAGGCCGGTGCCATGAGTGATTCTTTTCCTTGTGTGAAGCAAGTCACCAGGCTGTCGCCTCGAAGCTCAGGCAACCCAAATTCGGTATGGAGTTTGGAGTTAGAACCAGGACCTTCTGGCGGGGATGGCACGTCTCCCTTGGCGTGTCTGGAGAGGCCAGGGCTGAGGACGATGCCATCTCAGGCCCCTCATGCATTGGGGCAGAGGACGGGGAGCTGCCTGCCCTCACAGGCACAGGAGAGGATCAGCTGCTGGCAGGCAGTGGTGCTGATAGGCAGCACAGCCCTTCTGAGGAGGAACAGCTGCCGCCCCCCCCCCCCCCCCCCCCCATTTGATCCAAGGGCACCGAGAGCAGGGCTTAGGTAAGCCCAGGAAAGATCTACTCCAGGGAGATTCTCAACCATCCAGGTCATGGCTGTCGCCAAGGAGCTTTTCCAAGAGGCAGCTGGACTTTCTGGCTTTTCTTTCAAGACGTTTCACTTCTCATCCAAGAAGCTTCTGCAGTTCTTTAGAGCTTCAGAAGCGAAGAAGCTTCTTGACTGAGAAGTGAAACATCTTCAAAGAAAAAAAACAGAAAATCCTGGTGCCTCTTGAAAAAGCACCTTCGGGACAGACATGACGTGCATGACAAAGAATTTCCATAGACAAGTAATTTGTGCTAAATAATCATTTATTAAGGAGAAGTAACAGAGAGATCTCGGTGTCCTAGTGGACCATCACTGAGCCAGCAACGTGTTGTAGCTGCCAAAATAGCCAACACAATCCTGGGATAATGTCAAGAGAAACACTAGTACCGCTTTATACTGCACTAGCGAGGAATGCTATGTCCAGTTCTGGTCTTCCCAATACCAAAAAATTCTGTGGCCTAAAAAACATGCACAGAATAGCAGCAACGAGGAGTCTGGAGGTATGAAGAACGTTGTAGGGGAAACGGGCGGCATAGAAAATAAGGAAACAAATGGCAAAGGAAACCGGGTGTGCCTGGCCTACCGAAGAGAAGGATTAGGGGGGACAGGATGACTCTCTTCCAGGACTCGAGGGGCCACCCCAGAGTGGAGGAGACTGACTTGTTCTCCAAAGCAGGGGTCACCAACCTTTTGGAGTTCAGGGACCACCAAACTCATAATTTTAGATCCCAGGGACTACTAACTGGTTCTGTGGGCGTGGCCTAATTTGTGGGTGTGACTTGGTGGTCATGTGACTGGCTGTGCATGGCTTGTATGTAAATATTACAAATATTTATATAAATATTGACCGCTGCTCCAAAGCACCTGAAGGCAGGACAAGAAGTGACACGTAGAGACGCTTGTGAAAGAGACAGATTTTCTGACTGGGAAAATTCAGTGGTTCAATGGAACAGCTTCCCTCCCAGGACTGTGGGTGCTCCATCGCTGGAGGTTTGACCAGGATTATATAAGGTCTCCTGCCTTGACCAGGGGGTTGGACTGGGGGACTTCTGAGGTCGCTTCCGGCCCTAGCAGTCTGTCTTCCACATTCATTCCATGAGGCCCCAAGGCAAAAACAGGGTTCCCCAGCAACTCCAGAGCTTTTTCAGTCCATCTACGCGTTGCGTTGGTTCCCCTCCCTCCTCCCGCCAGTTTCCTTGGGTAAATTTGGGGAGGGGTGACTGGGAGAAGGGATGGCGGTCAAGCCTCCTTTCCTGGGACGCTGCTCTCCAGCCTCCCTGACCATTCCCTCTGCTCTCCCTCCAGAGCGTGCAGAGAAGTCCGGCCAAAGCCTGACGCGCCTCCCCTACAAGGACACGTTTTGGAAAGGCACCACACGGACTCGGCCACGTAAGAGATGGGGAGGCAAGGGGGCTCCTGGGCCAGAGCGGAGGTGGGGGGCCCAACCCTCTCCTCGGGCCTTTCTCCTCTCCTAGGCAACGGCACCCTGAACAAGCTGGTGGGGATTGACTTCCGGCAGCTGAGCCTGGGCCACAAACTCAACGAGAACCAGTCCGGAGAGGTACTGCTCCCAGCTCCCCTGCCCTGCCCTGCCCTGCCCTCCCCCGGCACGGGGGTTGGGGCTCCCCCATTCCTGGCTCTGCCGGGTGCCCTGACCCCTCCGCTTCCCTGCAGCTCTGGAAGGGGCGCTGGCAGGGGAACGACATTGTCATCAAGGTCCTTAAGATCCGCGACTGGACAACCCGGAAGAGCCGGGACTTCAACGAGGAGTACCCCAAGCTCAGGTGAACTCGGGGGCAGTGGTGGCGGCGGGGGGGGGGGCAGGCTTTGCTCTGCCCCTTGAGCAGCGCCCAGGCCTGCCTTTGGAAGTGCTGAAGCTGACCTGAGCCACCTCTTCCTCACAGGATTTTCTCCCACCCCAACGTGCTGCCGGTGCTGGGTGCCTGCCAGTCCCCCCCTGCTCCGCACCCCATCATCATCACCCACTGGATGCCCTACGGCTCCCTTTACAACGTGCTGCACGAAGGCACCAGTGAGTCTTGCCCCTAGCTGGGGTGGGGGCTCCTTACAGCCCAGCAATGGGGGGTGGTCAGCAAGGACCCCAGTCACTGACTGGCTGCATGGAACCACCACTCTGGCCACTTTACACCAGGCTGTTCCCACAACAGAAGCAGCCCAGAGTTGACGCTGAGCCATATTTTATGGAAACTGAGGCCTGGCCGGGTGAAAATACACCATGCAGCCTCCCCCAGATTAAAATCACTTGCCCCAGGGCAACCTAAAGTATCCGTTGGACCACGTCCATTGGGGGGGAAGAGGAGAAATCCAGCACCTCCCTTGCAGTATGTCAGGTGGAAATAACCAGGAATGCCCAAGAGTCTGGTCTCCTGATGGCCAAGGCAAACTGGCACCAGATAAAAGTCCATTCACTGGGGGGCGGGGGGGGCAGCCATTTGGGTTTCTTTTGAGAGTTTAGCGCATCATCATCCAAAGTGACATGCTGGGTGACCCGGCCCTCGGCTTGGTCATCCCCTACAGGTCTTTGGTGAGGCACTGGTCTTCGGAGGGCCTGTAGGCAGCCCTTCTGTGGGGCTGCAACATCCCTGCCTGCTTCCCCTGGAGGCTGGATGTGGGCCAGGGTCCCTTGCCGCCTTTTTCCTTCCTCCTCTGCAGTCCTGGAGTATAATCCCACTGCACTGGGAGCCCCGACCTCTCTGGGTGCAGGGGCCTTGCTGCCTTACTAGAAAGCATTTCCACCCCTGCCAGTAAAAAGTGTGAATGCTTTGATGCCGCTTTTGGCTGGAATTCCTTTGCGAGAGGAGCTGTGGGAGAGCAACTGGCTCCACTTCTCTATAGAAAGTGAAATAAAAGGAGGGAGGGAATGTTCAGAACAAATCACTGATCCCCTGAACAGCCAGGGCATCTCTGCCAAGACCTGAACGGACACCGCCTCTTGCCCACAGGGCCTGCTTTTCCTTTCTTCTAACTTTGGGCGTGGCTTTGTGCCCTTCAACCAAGCCACTTTCTCTGGGTTAGTGGACCCAAGGGCTGGAGGTGCCTTTGGTGGAGGGAGTTGCCATCCCAGATGCCTGCTGCAGGGGCTGAGCAACTGGGAGGAAGGGCTCCTCTCCACCCATAAGGGTGGGCTTAACTCCCTGTCCCAAGAGCTGAAGTGGATGGCCGTCTGGGAACGTGGTGTGAGAGGAGTGCCCGGCAGCCAAAGTGGGCATCCAGGCGGTTGGGCTGCTCCAAGGCTCTGAGCTGGCTCCAAGTCTTGCCCCGAGTGGGCTTTGGGTCATCCGTTCCCCTTCAGGCTCTTTTCCCCAGTCCCTCTGCCTTTCTGTGGGACGCAGGCCCCATGGACCTGCCTGTGGGGTTTTGTGCCGGTGCGGGAGAGGGGCTTGGGCACGCCTGTTCTCTTTCCACTCAGAGCAGGCCATGGACTCACTGAATTAGAGGCAGGAGGCGGATTCTGATAAAGCCTTAGAAGAAACGTGGTGAGGTGAAGAGTGGCTTAATGCCCTGGGGCTGGGGCAGGATGGCCCCAAAGGCACCTCCCAAGTTCCATCTCATAACCTCCGGTTTGCTGAAACGGACTGCCCTCCGTCCCCGGTGTTCCCTCCCCTCCCCCCTCCCCACCTCGTTTCTCCAGACTTCGTGGTGGACCAAATGCAGGCAGTGAAATTTGCCCTGGACGTATCCCGGGGAATGGCCTTCCTGCACACCCTGGAACCGCTCCTCCCGCGTCACTATCTCAACAGCCGTGGCATCATGGTCAGTTGGGGGCAGGCAGGGGGGTTGGCGCGCTGGGCAGAGTGGACCCCCAAGGCACAACCTCACCTGGTCTCTTCCCCGGAACAGATAGACGAGGACATGACAGCAAGGATTGGCATGGCGGATGTGAAGTTTTCCTTCCAGTGCCCAGGCAGGATGTACGCCCCAGCTTGGGTGGCACCAGAAGGTGAGGGGGGGGGCGGCGGCAAGGGATTCTCTGCTTCCCCTGCCAAGCACATCCGCAGCTTCTGCCATGCAGCTCCTTCAACCCTCTTCCTCCTCACAGCTCTACAGAAGAAGGCCGAGGAGATTAACCGGCGTTCGGCAGACATGTGGAGTTTTGCAGTGCTCCTGTGGGAACTGGTGACCCGGGAAGTGCCGTTCGCTGACCTCTCCAACATGGAGATTGGCATGAAGGTGAGCTTTGGTGGGAGGACGAAAGGGTTCTGCTTGGCTGTCCGGCGGGTGCCAGTGAGGTTCTGGTGTCTCTTTGTAGGTCGCCCTGGAGGGGCTGCGACCCACCATCCCGCCCGGCATCTCCCCTCATATTTGCAAGCTGATGAAGATCTGCATGAACGAAGACCCTGCCAAGCGCCCCAAATTTGACATGATTGTCCCTATTCTTGAAAAGATGCAGGAGAAGTGAGGGGGCCCCTCCAACAGCCACTAGCCGGCCCCAAGTGCCTTCAGGAAGAGCCAAGGGCTGGAGCGAAGACTCCCTGCACATGGTACGGATTGGGAGGGCGAGCTCCAGAAGGGGACTGCTCGGCCTTGCACTCTCCCTGCTACGTTCACGCCCCCACCCCGTATCTCTGGCCACCTCTCGTGCCAAGACCACCCTGCACTCCCACCTGGCTGTGCTACAGTTTTTATCTTTTCTACACAGGCGCAGGACAAAGCCCCCTGTGGCCCAAATAAACCGCTGTCACTGAAGCCTTTTGTGCTGCTTCCACGGGGAGGGAATCGGGGGTGGGGGGACTCAGCAGCCTCTGGCACCCGCATTTGAGCTGAGATGGGAACCGCATTTGCAAGAAATCCTTTTGCCACAGGGAGGTGCACCCTTCCCCCCACCAATAGGTAGCTGGGAAGAGGCACCTCTGTGCCAGAACAAAAGGCTAAGTTGGGGGAGGGGAAGGGAGGGTTGTCACTGCCCGAGGTGGGGGGACAGAGCAACAGTGCGGTGGGGGCTTTGGGCTTTGCAAGGAAGGAGGCAGGCAGGTGCAAAGCCCAGGGAGGGAGGGAATGGGCTGGTGCTGAGCGAAAGCTCCAGCCAGGTGTGCGCCCCCCCCCCCCATTCAGTAAGCATCCTCTGCCCACCAGCAGCAGAGCGCCGAACGCCAGAGCCTCCTCGCAGGGCAGCAGGAGGTCCTGCCAGTAACCAGAGCACGAGGGGGAGTGAGGGAGGGACTTTAATGAGGAAGGGAGTGGGGGAGGGAGGGGTTCTTAGGTGAAATAGTGGGGCTTCTTGACGTTGATGCCGTACTCGGCCAGCGCAGGGGCCAGGTCCTCCATGGTCAGCGTGTGCTTCTTGTCCTGCGAGGAGGAGAGGCAGCAGCAGTCGAGGGGTCAACGCCCCCTCCCCAAAGCGCTCTCTGCCCCCTCCCCACCCACCTTGCTCTTGTTGCGCGAGCTGCAGGAGGCCGTGCCCTTCATCTTGCAGTGCTGCAGGGCGTCGTTGGCCACGTCCGAGATGAACTTCTGGGCCGCCAGCGAGACCAGCCGGATGCTGCGGGGAGGGAGAGAGGGTTGGCTCGGTTCAGCCGGGCCCGCCCAGGAGCCCCGGGAGCCCCGCCACACTCACATGCGCGGGTCCGACGCCTCGAAGCCGGCGCGGTTCAGGTAGTAGCCGGTCACGGCGTCCGGGATCTGCAAGAGCGGGGCTAAAGTCAGGCGCGCACGGG